ACGACTACTACTACTACTACTACTACTACTGCTACTGCTACTGCTACTACTAACTACTACTACTACTACTACTACTACTACTACTACTACTACTACTACTACTACAACTACTACTACTACTAGGACTACTACTACTACGACTACTTCTACTACTACCAGTACTACTACCACTACTACTACTACTACTACTCCTACTCCTACTACTACTACTGTACTTTACTACTTGAGCGTAATTCTTTGACTGTTGCTACTACTACTACTACTAACTACTACTACTACTACTACTACTACTACTACTACTACTACTACTACTACTACTACTACTACTACTACTACTACTACTACTACTACTACTACTACTACTACTACTACTACTACTAACTACTACTACTACTACTACTACTACTACTACTACTACTACTACTACTACTACTACTACTACTACTACTACTACTACTACTACTACTACTACGACTACGACTACTGCTACTACTACTACTACTACTACTACTACTACTACTTCTACTACTACTACTACTACTACTACTACTACTACTACTACTACTACTACTACTGCTACTTTTCCTCCTCCTCCTCCTCCCCCTCCTCCTCGTCCTCCTCGTCCTCCTCCTCCCTCTCCTCCTCCTCGTCCTCCCTCCCGCCTCCTCCTCCTCCTCTTCCTCTTCCCTCAGTCCCCGCCCGAGAACAGGATGTGAGTCCGCCTGCGGGGGCCGCAGCCCCCCCCACGCCGCCAGGCGCTGCGCCTCGGCGCGGGCGATGGCGGCTGCGCGGGCGGCCAGGCACCACGCTGGCAGGTCCATGAGGGCGCTGCCACTGCTCGTGGGGGTCTTGAACCCGTTGAGCGCCGTGGGGGCGAGGGCCGAGGACATCGCAGACGAGGCCAGCAACTTCGACGTGTTCGCACTAGTGAGCACGCAGTCCAGGGCGCCCCCAGGCTATTCGCACGGACTTCAGCTTGGAGCACACGGAAGACTCGTTATTGATTCAGGCTGGGGTCAAGGAGTGTGCACAAATCATCCGGCTGGGTGCAGGCTCCTGCGGGGAAGGCGTTTCTCAAAAGATCATCTTCGGAGAGTGTACCCTACGCCTGCGCCATTACAAGGGCGTGTCTTGGCGGCTAGATGCAAAAATGGACTGTTGGACTTGACGGCGATTGCGATGTATTTCCCACCGCGCCCGAAGACAGCTAAGGCAGGCGCACGCTACAGAGAGACTTGCATGCGCATGTCACAGTGGTTGGACCAGGTGCTGCTCACTACCCCGCACTCCTCGCTGCCGCTCATTATGACGGATCTTAACGATGGCATTGGCATAGGATCGTTGACAAAGGACGGCTACGTCGGGGAGGCGATCATCAGCGAAACCAACGCGACGAAGGAGTTCACGAAGGGGGCGGGGGCGACCATCAGAGATGTCCTGTTGAGGCATCACATGGCGGTCTACAGTGACAATTCAGAACCAACCTGGTTTGGCAACAAGGGAGAGGCGTCACGCATCGACTACATCATGGGCCCCCTTTCGTGGAAAGATGCTCTTCAAAAGAGTACCCCTTTACTCAGGATGGGAAGGCGGCTCCAGCTCATTCGACACCGTGACATACGGGATCACGTTCCAGTGCATGCGCGCCTACTATATGACAGATTGACCGTTTGCAATGATAATGAAACAGAGCATAGCCGTGAACGATGGGATCGAGACGCACTAGTACACGCCCTGAGACACGGAGATCAAAAGCATGAGTTCTTGACACAATTGAATGATTTCTTGAGAACTTACATGGAGGAGTGGGTTCGGCTCGGCTTACAGAAGGCACCTGATGACATTTTTGCTTATCTAGAGAAGCACATGGTAAACATTGAGTTGGACCACTTCAGCACGCCGCACTTTGTAGACGACGCTTACAAAGAGCTCAGGAAGGCCCGTTTGGCGATCTTACAACAGAGGCGAGGCCTACGAGAAGCGACGTGGGCATCTCAAGCAACTTTGGACGGGGTAAAGGCACAACTAAAAGCTATTTCAAAGAAGTGCGGCAGGGTCAGAGCGTGGGCACAACAACAGACTCGCATGGCGATCGAGGAGGAGATTAATCAGCACTGGGAGGCGAGGAGATTTGCTCAGGCGCACCGTGCTACCATCAGGCTGGGGGACAACAGGACAGGCACTAAACGACGAGACCTTCGGGCTTTGCCCCTTGCGCCCCCGACGAAGGCCGAGTGGATGGAGGCGCTCGAGCTGAATGGCAAAGATGGTGGAATGGGCGCAATTGAGATCACACAGCATCCACAAGTTCAGGTGGAAAGGCTCGATTGTGAAGAACTACCAGACCAGTTGCCTAACATTCCTGACCCCTGGCAATTTATGGCGGAAGGAGAGGGCGTACCTGAGTTTCAAGACGATCACGCAACTGGTGCCTTTCTTGAGAGCAGGAGAGGTATCATGATAATGAAGCGGTATTTGGTTCGGACGCCAAAGAGAAAAGCGTGCCCAGCTGGCTCGCCGCCTGCGGAGTTGTTCTGGATGGTTTTACACCCTCAGAGAGATGCCTTTCACAAAGGAGTTGGAAACGATCTACCAGACTCGGACAATAGCTACATTGAAGTTTGCTTGCACATGGCTTTCTATAATCTGCGTTATTATCAGCTCACACCGCAGAACTGGCACGCCTCTGAGTGCGACGCGGCACGGAAAAACGAGCAACAAGGACCTGGAGGACGGCGGCTTCTTCATATTCTTCGTGTACTGGGCAAAAGGCTTTTGCGCTAACTGTATCATCCTGCCAGCTGAACATCACGGATGCGCTAGAGGGCGAAGACGAGAGACTGCAATTATGGCTTCCATGATTATTGGTTACGCGTTAAGGCAGTTGAACTGCTCGTATGTTGACAGCTTCAAGGATATGGCCAATGCGTTCCCTTCGGTGGGATGGCAGTACATGGAGAAGGCGGCTGCAGCTTTGGTACGAGGCAAAGATTTACGGTTGGCTCTGCAGAGAATCAGGAGAGCGCAGGCGCGTCTACCAGCAGCAGAAGGTACACTTCACTTTAGGCCGACGGAGGGAGGCCTCATGGGGGGCCCATTCATGGCGCATTGCTTCCCCAGAGCCTTTACGCATACCATAGAGCCATGGACACAGCAGTGGAGACGGACAGATAATGCGGACAAGGTGCTGGTGGTCAAGTGCCCGATCACGCACCAGGATGTCGACCTTAGTCTGCACTTGTACGCCGACGACATCAACAAAAAGATCTCGCAGCACATGCCGACTCAAAAAGAAGACGTGAACCTGGACACATTGCGTGGCAAGTTACAGGACTGCGACAAAATCATGGACGACCAACTGCTCAAGATCAGACTGGCTCAGAACAAAACAAAACAAGTCAATATCATTGCAATTCATGGAAATGGAAGTGGCATAGCGAGACGGGAACTTCGGCAAAGGGATCAACGAAAGAAATTTGACGGACTGATAGCGGAACAGGCACGGCACCTTGGCCCCATTCTAACGCATATACAGAGCTTCGGCATTGAATTGGCGAGGAGAGTTCAAGCAGCTAAGGCGGCATTCTACTCAATGGGATCTTTCTGGAGTGCCAAGCGCGTGCCATGGAGGTGGAGGCGCGCTGCGCTGATTGGAAGAGTGGTCAATGCGGCGCTTACGGCGGTCGAGGCCTTCACCCCTTCTCGGAAGCAGTGCGACGCGCTCGACGGTGCGATTGCCTCGCTGGCCAGAATTGCGATGAGAGGAGCAGCTTGTACACGCAACGAGGACGGCACGGTGCGCTCACTAACGAACAAAGAGGTCTTGGCGCGCTGGAAGATTCCCAGATCGGAGGTGGAGTTGCGGATTCGGAGGCTGAAGTGGCTACAGCAGGCGGCCAGGGACAGGAACAACTGCGCCCAGTTCTTCGGGGCGCTCTTCGGCGCCACCAGCGGGCAGCAGAGGGGCGCGGTGAACGTCGATGGCTCCATTTCCGTGCTGGCCCACCCTTTGGCGAAACGAGTGCAACAATACGTGGACTCGCTCATTCGGGTCTCGGACGAGGCTCGTGCATTGCAAGAGACTGCTGGCCCGCATATTGCGGCCTGGCTAAAAGATCCGCACTTCAGAGAGGACTTCGTCAATATTGATGTCAGCATTCTACGAGCAAGCGAATTCAGCGCAGACGTTCCGCCCCCAACTTGCAAACCCGCTACACAGAAGACAGACGACGACGAAGAGGAGAAGGTGATTCGCGAAGTGGAGGAGGAGTTTAAGTGCCAGGTGGAAGAGGACGGGGGGACGTGTGGTAGAGTATTCTATTCGAAACGGGCACTTCGCACGCACGTCCGGCAAGTACACAGCATCGTCAACGTTTGCTCGTTCTACAATCCTACGAATGTGTGCATCGTGTGCGAAGCGGTCTTCGCCACAGCTGCCACCGCGCGTCGGCACTTATCTCGGGCTATTCAGAGAGGATATTGCGTGGTCGATCTCGCTCGAGCACTCGTTCCTGCACAAGAGCCAAAAACACTACAATGTCCTGGGTGCGAATTTGCAGCTGGATGTTGGCTTGAGCTTCGAGATCACCTCGCTCGCCACCTGCCTTTTCTTCCTGACATTCGCGCGCCCGCCCCTGTGGGCAAAAACCTTCCGCATGGCAGACGACTGCGACCAGGAACCAGAGGTGGGGGACCCAGAAGGGGATGAAGGAGATGGGTATCGGACAAGTCGGCTGGGGCTTCCAACGGCGCAAACTAGGAGCAGCAGGATGGCAGGGCTCGGACGCCAAGAAGCAGATGGAGGAAGAGCTACTCCCACAGGCAAGCGGACAAGTAGGCAAAGGCGCCACCAAATCACAAGTCGTGCTTCTAATCGTGCTCATTCTGTTCGTCTTCAGTTTCGCGGGCGATCCCAGGTCAGTCTTCAGCGTGGTCAGCGCCACAGCGATCTTCCCCTTGGCGGCGCCGTGCTCCGAGGCGGCGGTTCAAGCACGCAAGAACTACCACAAAGCGGCGGCGGAGCTCAAAGAGAAGGAGGACTTCATCAGAGCGCTCCTCGCGAGTACAGAGGAAGGCCAGGCGCGCACCACGCTTGGAACGCACGGGAAGGAGTACATCATGAAGTACGTGCTGAAAGGCGCGGAAATGGAGATCAAGCACTTCTGGGCGCGCGTCCCGCTGGGCAAGGAGGTCAAGAAGAAGTCGAAGCGCGGGGGGGGCAAGGTGCGGCTGCAGTGGGCACGCTCGGCGACCAGGATCGCGCGCGAGCTCGACGGGGCCATTCGCTCGGAGATAGCCAGGCACGGCGGAGAGATCTGGATCGGAGCTGCCCCGCGCGGGGCCTTGGAGAGGGGCGCGCGAGTGCTCTTGAACAAGCTGGAGCAGCCCTTGGAGAGGCCGAAATGAGGAGGATGAGGACCCTTGCAGGAAGTGAGCGTCTGAGTGAACTTGTGTCTAGGGGCCTAGTGAGCAGGGGGTCGATCCTCGCCTCTTTCACCTCCCCCCTCTCCGAATCTGCTCTTGAAGACCCCAGGGGCCGCTTTATCCCGACCGAAAAAATTCAGCCTCGTCTTAAAGGGCGGGGTAAAGGCAAAGGTAGGGGGAAACAAAATCGCCCCTCTGAGCAAGGGAGAGGCTCGGGGCTGCCGAGTACCTAGCCTCGTAGTGTGGGATGCCGTCGGGGGCCCCGCGCTGCGTGGTGAAGTGCGGGTCGTTCCTTAGTCTCTCCTGGTGTGACTAACGTGTGGGCCGCCACCCTTGCGCCCCGAGCTCATGCCTCGCGGGTTGCCTGGGGGCCCGAGTGTTTTTTCCACACCAGTGCCAGCGTGTAGCAAAGTTGCAGCCACTTTGGCATGCCGCCCAGCGAATTCCAAGGACAGAGCAGTGACACTTCGTACCTTCGTTCGCCCAGGGATGTCAGTCAGTCAGTCTCCTCTTTCCTCCTCCTCCCCCTCCTCCTCCTCCTCCTCCTCCTCCTCCTCCTCCTCCCCCTCCTCCTCTTCCCCCCCCTCCACCTCCTCCTCCTCCTCCTCCTCCTCCTCCCTCCTTCCTCCTCCTCGTCCTCGTTCCCCCCCCCTTCCGCCGGCCGAATCGAGCCGGCGGGCGGGCCGGCCGAGCCCGGGGCGACGACGACGACGGCGGGCCGGCCAAGCCGAGACGAGGGGGCGACATCAAGTTCTTACCTGTTTCCAAACATGCACGGCTCAGGCCAGCAACAGTGCATGTCAGGAGGCAGCAGAGTACAACTGTAGCACTGCCTTGGAATGCCCCGCTAGGTTTACGTCCCCGTCAGATGGCTGCGGCTACCCGCGGCCGTTTGGCTCAAGACTCCTTCTTCTGAGCGTCCTGCTTCGCCTGCCACGCGGACTTGCGCTGGCTGGCGGTCATCGCTCGTTTCTTCTGCTTCGGTGGCTGCCTCGACTTCCACGCCTCCTTGCGCTCCTTCGCGGTCATCGCTCTGTTCTTCTCCTTCGCCGGGTGCTTCCTCTTCCACGCGGCCTTGCGCTCCTGGGCCGTCTGCGCGGGCTCCTCCTTCTGAAGTCCGCTGGCCGCTGAGAGCTCAGGCCGCGGGGGCTCCGTCACAGGCTCGGTCTGCGAGGCGTCCGAGACTGCATGGCCAGCATGGGCCTCAGCCAGGAGTCTAGCGACTTTTGCTTCCCCTGCAGCCACCGCAGAGATGCTTCGGCGCTTCATCACCCGTGGAAGACCAGAACCCCCACTCTGCTGCCGCTTATCCTGTTTCCACTTCCTGGACCGTTATGCGTCCTTCTTCTGTTCTGGCCGCCCTGACGAATTCAACTCCCTGGGCTGCAATGTTCGCGCGCGCGCAACTGCTCGTGCTGCGACGCCGTCGCCTCTCCGCGGGTGCAAGAAAGAGATGCCGCGAGCCTGCGCCACACGTGCCTTGCGCGCTTTCTCTCCCTCGCGGTGCAAGCGCTCCCTGTCTCTGGCCGCGAGCTTCTTGCCCTGCCGTTCTGCGTGCTCTGCGTCGTCCTCGCGCAGCAGGATCAGGTCGCAGCCCCCCTCGAGCTGCGCAGAAACTATGGCGGCGATGTAACCCTGCGCGTGCGCCCGCGTATGCAGCTTCCGATATAGCCGCCGCCGTGCTTGCACGGGGCGCGCGCGTTCGAACGCTCCCAAGAGGCCCCCTAGATGGCCCCGAGACGGCGCCAGAGGATCCCAAGACGGCCCAAGAGGCGCCCAAGACAGCCCAGACGGCCCCAGAGATCCAAGACTGCCCAAGAGGCGCCCAAGACGGCCCAGACGGCCCCGGGATCCCAGACGGCCCAAGAGGCGCCCAAGACGGCCCAGACGGCCCAAGAGGCGCCCAAGAAGGCCCAAGAGGATCCCAAGACGGCCCAAGAGGCGCCCAAGACAGCCAAGGAAACGTCCAAGACGGCCCAGAGAGGGCCCCCCCCCCCCCCCCCTCCCCCCCCCCCCCCCTCTCTTCCTATTCTCAAACTCCTTTCTACAGCGCTGTTGCGCCAGGCGCGGTGGCGGGGCCGGCCGCAGGCAGGCGGATGAAAGTCGACAGTTTCAGGAAAAGCAGCGCGCGAAGCTTCGCGCCCAGGAGCCTGCGCGTTTGTCGCGCGACTCGTTGTCCCCACGCACCTGTTTCGTTGTGGAAAGCCTCATTGCTCGCAGTTCTACAACTGTTCTCCTCCTGTTGCTTTTGCGTCATCTCGCCACGGCGGAGAGCGCGGTTGCGCAAGTATGAGTAATGGTCACACTGCGCTTCCAAGATCTCTCCAAGGGTGCGGGAGTCCTGGCCCCTCTCGTTTCTACGAGCCATGTCGTCAGCACCAATGGCCCCTGCAGCTGCCAAAAGTTTGCCATGATCTTCGGGGCTGCCCCCCATTGTCGCAGCCTGAGAGATGAGCTCTTGCGCCTCCGCAGTGGACATTTCCAAGCCTGCTGCGTAAGCCTTGCGGGCGGCCTCGCCTTCTGCAGCCGCCTTCTCCGAGTTCCACCGAAAAGTCTCGCCCGCCTGTCGCCCCATGGGTCTGTGGAAAAGATTTATATTGATTTCAAGAACCAGAATCGAGACTCGATTCGGCTTATGGCCAGAGCAGCTCTCCAGACGCAGTTTGCCATGAATAGGGTCTTCAGATACGCAGCGCAGGTTGCAGAAAGAGCCCAGGAGCTTTCCAGTGTCCGAGAGAAGCTTTGCGGGGCTATCCGTGCACACCGACAGCGCCCGCCAACGAAAATTCAGCGGCACGGCGATTTCCATCCCTCGCAGCAGCTCGGCGAAGTCCTCCGCGCGAATGGGCTCGATGGCAAGGACGGACCCCGTGCGCCCCTTCGTAGTCAGGCAGCAGCGCTCCTGCTCAGCCAGGCGAGGCCCCTGCTTGCCTTCGGGAACATTGCCGCTGATGGATTGCATAATGTTGACCGTGGCGTCAACGCTCAAATCGGTGAACTCGTCGAATAATTGGCCCACAGTCTCGCGCATGTCCTGAAGCATCATAGCGATGGTCTCCCCATGGAAAATACGATGAAGCAGATCACCGATGAACGCTGGGCCTGGGAGGGCTTCCGCGAGGCCATCGGCCAGAGACATCTGGGATGCCTCCCCAACCATTTCTCGCAAATGAGCTTCGGTCTCCCCTGGCTCAGCAGCGCGGCAGATGCAATCCGCCACCGTGCCCCTTGGCACGTTGAGGCGTGGAAGAATGCCATGTGCTGTCCGGCAGGTGTCGTCGTCGTCGTCGTCGTCGTCGTTGTCGTCATAGTCGTCGTGGTCGTCGTCGTCGTCGTCGTCGTCATCCTCGCCCTCATCGTCAACAACATTGCCACGCACATCATCAAAAACACTACCATTCGAAGAGCCGCCACCCAAGGGGCTCGGCTGGCACGGTGGCGGGACTGGCCGCAGGCACCTGGTTAGCACGGATATACCCCTGAGAGACAGCAGTATTCGAAGTGATGCGCACCGCACACACATGCTCGGGATGATTCCGAAGCAGCAATCGCCCACCCTTTTCGGTGATCAAGGATCGGAAATCTTCACGGTACCATCCCCACTTCAAGGCTTCAGGACGATTGACGCTTGTGTTCCAGGCTTGCACAGCGCACGCGGTTCCGGCCAGGGGGCGCTCCCGCACCAAAGCCTTCCAACCGCTGTGCGCCCGCAGACAAATTCCATTGGCTCCTCCTGGCTTCAGAAGATCCCATGGCGCTGGCTTGGATGTGCAAGAGTCGAACAGGTTCCGAGAACAATTGACGAAGTTGCGGATGGGGTGCTTCATGCCGCCCTCGTGTTGCTTTGTCATATGGGCTGCCAGGTGGTTCCTTCGCGAACGACTTGAAGGGGCATAACATGCACTCCCATCTCGCTGCAGCACACGCCCTCCGAACCGTGGCCTCGCGCACCTGCGAGAGATACTCCTGCACCTCGGAACGCACGCGCTCGGTGAAGATCTCCCCGGCTGTGGCCTCGTCAGTGATGCGCCCAATGACACCTGCTGCGGAATGTGTCACTGGAAACAAATGGCCTCTCGATTTGACACGTATACGGCGCATCTTCCAGACGTTGGCAGCCGCGCCAATGGCAGGGGCACCATCCTTCCGCGGAAGCAATCAATGCACCACCGCCCCGCCTGGCCAGGGCCATCCTGGGCCCCAGAATGGCGCATGGACCCCCCTGGCCTCGCCAGGAGGGCGCATGCACCACGCCAGGGCCCACGATGGCCCTGCCCAGGTGCGGTGGTGGTGTATACATGGCTTCCGCGGACATCCTGGCTAGCGCTCGGCACTGCGCTACCAATGGCTGCCGAGCCTGACGCGTCTTGGGTTGGGGTGCTCTCGGCGCTACTGGCGTGCGCTTTGACTTCATGACAACGCAAGTCGAGATGGTCTACTGCGCATCCCGAAAGAGGCAAGGGCACATTGAATACCCAATTGGACAAAGCAACGAAGTCTACCTCTTCAGTCATTGCCACGCACATGCCCTCTTGACCGCACGAATGCCTGTGAGAATCCACCGGAAACACTTGGCGTCCGACAACAATTCCGAATGTGTTACCCACGGCTTTAGTCGCCCCCTTCGGCTTGTCCTTCTTTGGTGCCGTGCACGCAACGCTGAACGGGGGGGTGTGAGTAAGGAGATGCTCCATGAGCTCCTCCGCGCACACTACGGTTGCAAGGTCTGTCGGGAAACCCTTCCCCCCAGGAGATATCGTGGAAGAGCGCCATCGCCGTCGCCAATTCTGGCCCAAGCCCCCCTGCAAGCCAAAAGTCGATCCCTCCAGAGGTCGCTTGCTCGTCCGAACAAGTTCTGGCACCCGCTGAACTGTGCAATTTTTTCAGCAATAAACAAAGCGCAACAGGAAGTCGTGTACTCCGGCGAAACATCTGGGCCCACAGTATTCTGCTCAAAATCGAAAATCTTGAGTTTCACTTCG